AGCACTGACCCTCCGACAGTGCAGCGCTCCCTCAGCACTGACCTTCCGACAGTGCCCGCTCCCTCAGCACTGACCCTCCGACAGTGCGACGCTCCCTCAGCACTGACCCTCCGACAGTGCGGCGCTCCCTCAGTACTGACCATCCGACAGTGCGGTGCTCCCTCAGTACTAACCCTCCGACAGTGCGGCAATCCCTCAGTACTGACCCTCCAACAGTGCGGCACTCCCTCAGCACTGATCCTCTGACAGTGCGGCGCTCCCTCAGTACTGACCCTCCGACAGTGCGGCGCTCCCTCAGTACTGACCCTCCAACAGTGCGGCGCTTCCTCAGTACTGACCATCCGACAGTGCGGCACTCCCTCAGCACTGACCCTCCGACAGTGCGGTGCTCCCTCAGCACTGACCCTCCCACAGTGCAACACTCCCTCAGCACTGACCCTCCCACAGTGCAACACTCCCTCCGCACTGACCCTGCATCTGTGCCTGTACTCCTTATATACTGAAACTCCAACAGTGCTTTGCCTTAATACTGCCCCTTTGATAGCGTTGCACTCTCTCAGTACTCACTTTAAAAGTTTTGAACTCCCTTGGCGTTTAGCCTAGTTGGGCAGACATCTGGTTTGTGATGAAGAGTGCTGCCAGCATCATGTGTTCAATTCCAACACTGGCTGTAGTTACCCTGAAGGACTGTCCTTCTCAACCTCCTCCCTCACCTATTTCCTCTTAAATCCCTCCCACTAATTAGTGATCTGGGGACTAACCATAATAAAGTGATGCATAGAGCTTTCCTGCTCCTCTGATGCTGCTTGGCCTGCTGTGTTCATCCAGCTCTACACCTTGTTATCTCAGATTCTCCAGCATCTGCGGCCGCACTTGGAGTATTGCGTACAGTTCTGGTCATCGCATTATAGGAAGGATGTGGAAGCATTGGAAAGGGTGCAGAGGAGATTTACCAGGATGTTGCCTGGTATGGAGGGAAGGTCTTATGAGGAAAGGCTGAGGGACTTGAGGCTGTTTTCGTTAGAAAGAAGAAGGTTAAGAGGTGACTTAATAGAGACATACAAGATGATCACAGGATTAGATAGGGTGGACAGTGGGAGCCTTTTTCCTCGGATGGTGATGGCTAGCACGAGGGGACATAGCTTTAAATTGAGGGGTGATAGATATAGGACACATGTCAGAGGTAGGTTCTTTACACAGAGAATAGTAAGGGCGTGGAATGCCCTGCCTGCAAAAGTAGTAGACTCGCCAGCTTTAAGGGCATTAAATGGTCATTGGATAAACATATGGATGATAATGGAATAGTTTAGGTTAGATGGGCTTCAGATTGGTTTCACAGGTCGGCGCAACATCGAGGGCCGAAGGGCCTGTACTGCGCTGTTATGTTCTATGTTCTACTATCTCTTAAAGTGATGCATCATCTTTTATGTCTGTCCATATCATTTTTGCTTTGAAAATAGTTGTGTCCCTTTTTACCCTTGTCATTGAGAGTTCCCAACAGCAACTATTCCAGCCCCCATTTCCCTCCTTAATATTTTTAAATATGTTTTATGCTGTAGTGTTCAGTGCCCAGTCCCAATTTTTTTTGTAGTTGTGACTCAATAATCTCTACGACTGGTCCCTCCAGCACCTCACTACCTCTTGTATCTCAGCTTCATTACGGACACTGTGTATTGCCTCAACTCATTTTTAACACGATTGCTTCTCACTTTATGTTGCCCCAGCTTCTAAACTCTGTTCTTTAATTCTTCTCTTTCATTTGCCATTAATATCCCATCTTCCTTCCTCACAAGCAAGAGGAGGCGATGGCCTAGTGGTACTATCACTGGCCTATTAACCCAGAGACCCTGGTATTGTTCTGGGGACTGGGTTTGAATCCTGCCATGACAGATGGTGGAATCTGAACTCAATTTTTTTTAAAAATCTAGAATTAAGAGTCTAACGATGACCATGGATTCATCTGGTTTAGGGAAGGAATCTGCATTCCTTACCTGGTCTGGCCTACATGTGAGCCCAGGATGACTATTAACTACCCTCTGGGCAATTAGGGATGGGCAATAAATGCTGGCCTAGCCAGCAACACCCTGGTCCTGTGAATGAATAAAAATTAAAAACAAAATCTCTCCCCATTTCTCTGCCACCATTTATGGGGCTGGAAGGGGCTGCACTCACATGTCCCTGTCTGTTATCCTCACAACTTGCTCCTGTCCCTTCCCATTTGCTGCTGGGTTCTTTGCTCCCTCTCCCACCCCCTGAACCAGTTACCCCTCACACTTGCCCCCTTCCTCCATCCCTTTACCCCGTCCATTCGCCTTACCTGGCCTCAATGACTTCGAGGAGGTGTTGCCAGTTCCTGCTGATGAGATTAAGTTTGTTGTCGATCTCAGATGCCTTTGATGGCCTGCTGGCTTTAATCAGATCACTCCCCAGCTGTTTCAGCTGCACCTTGTTCCTGTTGTAGAGATTTATTTCCCTCATACAATCCTAAAACGGAAAGCATAGCTCACAGCACCGGCTCATTACTGAGGGAGAATAAACAGCTCACTTGTACAATTTTGGGGTTCACTAAAAGTAATTGCAAGACCGAAGGAAATTACATGTACACGAAGTTGAGAGAGTCAATCTAAAAGGTCGACAAGTCCTGATTAGTTGCAAGGCCCATTCCAGGTCCAAGTTTCACTGAATTCATTAAGTTTATCAAAATAAGCACAAAAGAAATGATACTTAATGAAAGCAGTGGATTGAGTCTATACACAATGGAAAACCAGTTTGCAGTTTCTGGCTGACTGGGCCCATGGTCTTTTTTTTGTCCTGCTGACTGAAGTTATCCTTCTGTCTCCAGGAATCCTACTGTGCACCAAACTACTGAGAGTCACCACTGATTAACCCTTGGTCCCTGTTACCCCCTGTGCATCGTCAGAGGCATCGTGAACTCAAACTGGCTTACAAATTAGAAGCAATGGAGGGGCAATGGCCTGGTGATATTATCACTGGACCGTTAATCCAAGTAACATTTTGGGAACCTGGGTTCGAATCCTGCCACAGCAATGGTGGAATAGGAATAAATTTTTTTTAAAAATCTGGAATTAAGAATCTAATGATGACCATGATCCATTGTCAACTGTCGGAAATATCCGTCTGGTTCTCTAATGTCCTTTAGGGAAGAAAGCTTCCATCATTACCCAGTCTGGCCTACACGTGACTCCAGACCCACAGCAATGTGGGTGACTCCTTACTACCCTCTGGGCAATTAGGGATGGGCAATAAATGCTGGCCTAGCCAGCGACGCCCTCATCCCATGGATGAATACATTTTTAAAAATTGCATGAGCAGCTTGCTCTGAATCTGAGATTAGCTCTCTGGGTAGAGGACACCCAGTTTGTGACAGGTCTCTTTAACAGTATAAAACATAAAATAGATGAAAGCTCAAAATGACCATTCTAACACACATAAGTCTGTTACATAGAGTCATAGAGATGTGCAGCAGTAAACGGACCCTTCGGTCCAACTCATCCCTGCCAACCAGATATCCCACATTAAACTAGCCCTATTTGCCAGCATTTGGCCATATCCCCCTAAAGGTGAGAGGGGGAAGATTTCAAAGGCACCTGAGGGGCAACTTTTTCATGCAGAAGGAGGTACATGTATGGAATGAGCTGCCAGAGGAAGTGGTGGAGGCTGGTACAATTACAACATTTAAAAAGGTATCTGGATGGGTATATGAATAGGAAGGATTTAGAGGGATATGGGCCAAATGCTGGCAAATGGGATTAGATTAATTTAGATATCTGGGTCGGCATGGACGAGTTAGAGTGAAGGGTCTATTTCTGTGCCGTACAGCTCTGTCACTCTAGAAATAAGAAAAGTAACTCACCGCAAGTCAAAGATAAAACATGCCTTACCTTCTGGAGTCTCTCAATCATCTCCTCGACACCACTGTCTGTGCTCTGTGAGACTCGATTTTCCATCTGTTTTAGCCAGTCTTCCAGCTGCTTGCTCTTGGTATTAAACACGACCCACTGCTCGAGCTGGTCACTTATCTCCAGTGTTCGCAAGGACGCCTACGGGATTAGTGGGTAGAGCCAGTTAGCGGTACTACTGCAGGGAGATTGATGCATTTAGCTATAGACCGGACAAACTGCAATAGATACTGAGAGACAAGCAGCACAGCAGCATATTCCACAACCTCCACAACATAGCTCACATCTGCAGAAGGTCCTAGAAATGCTGCTTGTCCAACGGGATATATATTTGCCCACTAATACTCTCCCCCTCTTATTTCTTCTGGTCAGAGTAAATTGGATTGGAGAGAGTATTTATTCTCTGTCTTTCTCTCTTTGGGTCAGTCCTTTCTCTCTCTCAGTGCATCCTAGCTGTGCAACATTCCTTGTGATGCAGAGATGCATTCACAGGACCCTGTACAATCTCAGGACTCCAGTAAAAGGCTTCAAACTGGAATTTGAACAATTTGAATTTATCCAGCACATTTAGTGTCATAAGACATCCCTTCATTGGAGGACTATAAAACAAATGTTCTCAAAACAAGATGTGGAGGTGCTGGTGTTGGACTGGGGTGGACAAAGTCAGAAATCACACCACACCAGGTTATAGGCCAACAGGTTTATTTAAAATCACAAACGTTCAGAGCACTGCTCCTTCATTAGGTCAAATCTTCACCTGACAAAGGGACAGTGCTCCGAAAGCTTGTAATTTCAAATAAACCTATTGGCCTATAACCTGGTGTGGTGTGATTTCAGATTAAAAACAAGACACAGGGCTGCTTCCACCACCGACTTCATAGTGAATATAAGAGCAGTTGGAAAAGCAGACACAATGCCCATGATATCAGCATCGAAAGGTGTAAAAATACATCTCGTTTATGAAGGTCCTTTCTGTCTCATTGGCTCAGTGTTTGTCCGAGGCAGTTAGTGAGTGAGTCACTCTGAAGCTGTCCTCCTTCCTTCCTGCTACATGAACTTACAGACAGCAGCAGTTGTTCCCAATGGCTCTCCAGGATTGCTACTTGCTCCTGGAATCCAATCGCCACATCGGGAATAAGGTGCTTGCCAAGTTCCGCTTTCACGGTGCTCAACTCGACAAGCCTGTTCATCCAGCATCGCATCGGCCCTCCCAGCTCCTGCTATTCAAAATAAAGCACAAAATCTACCAGTTAGTGAGAGAGCACATGTGGAACATGTGTGTGTGCATGCATGTGTGTGCGCGTGCATGTTTGTGTGTGTGCATGTGCATGCATGCGAGTGCACGAGTGCGCATCTGTATGTGCGTGTGTGCAACGTGTGTAAGACAGAGATGAACTGAATGGTAGGAAGAGGAGCCCATTGGAGATACTGAGGATTTGTTCACTTGATAGTGGAAAGGTGCTAATATCACTGGTCATTCTGCTCTGTGAACGCCAGCTCAATACCCACCAAGGCAGGCATTGAAATTTAAACTCAATAAGTTCAATAATTCATTAAAAAAATCAGTCAGTGAAAGCTAGGTTCGGTAATGGTAACCACTAAACTAATCATTGATTGCTGTGAAAATCCATCTGGCTCACTACTGATCTTTAGGGAAGGAAATCTGTTGTCCTTATCTGGTCTGGCCTACATGTGACTCCAGTCCCTCAGCTATGTGTTTGACTCATAACTGCCCCCTGGAACGGCCTAGTAAGCTAAGTTTGGGGGCAGTTAAGGATGGGCAATAATTGCTGGTCTAGCCAGTAATATGCACATCCCATGGAAGAATTTCTATAGATTGTGTGTAAGAATGTATGGGTGTGTTGGTGATGACCAGCCGTTGCTACAGAGCTGAGTCAGGATTTGAATCCCCACTAGTGATTAACTCACTGACATCCAGAACCTAGGCTCTGTCACTTCATTCATTCATTCATGAAAGATCAGGGTCAGTCTTATCTGATACAAAAGCAAAATACTGCAGGTGCTGAAAAGCAGAAATAAAACAGTAAATGCTGTAAAGTGTTTTATAGAAAGGGAAATAGAGTTAACATTTCAGGCCAATAACCCTTTGCAGTTCTGAAACCCCAATTCTTTCTCTCTCGCCATAGATGCTACCTCCTGCTGCGCATTTCCAGCACACTGTTCTTATTTACCTCTTACCTGAAGTTTATTTTGCTCTTTTCGTAGGTCCTCACTGAAGCAGGGCAGCTCCCGCTTCAAATCTGCTCTGAATTCTTGGAGTTTGAGACCTAATACGGTTACCTCCTCCTCACATCTGTCACACATCTGTCGAGAGCAGCACAAAGACACAGAGTGGGATGGCAGGCAATTTACAATAAACAGTCCCCCAACTTCACAACACAGCGTTTACCAACACCATCGGGTTGAAGTGAAAGACTCCACTGCACAGTGTCCTGACCAATATTTACCCCTGAACCAATACCATGTGAAGAATTATCTGGTCAGGTTGACAGTGCTGTTTGTGGGAGCTGGATAAATGCAGAACAGCAGTGACTACATCACACAATTTGTCGGTGGTGGAGGGGGGGGACATTCACTGTAGCTAACTTGGCAAGATCCTGATCCCAGAGCAGAATACTGCAGATGCTGGAAAGCTCTCGAGTGACGCAGGGATACGTCTGCACTTCCATTTACCTAGCGTGTGGAATTCACTGCTCACAATGTTGGCACCTTGACACCAAATGTAGACTGGGCGCCCGCTTTGCGGAATCCCTCTGTTCCATCCACAAGCACGACCCCAAGGGGGTGGGGGGCCTGCCATTTTAATTCTCCACCTTGCCCCAAGACCGACATCTCTGTCCTCAGCCTGGTGCCCTGTTCCAGTGAAGCTCAACACAAACTGTGGAAACACCCTGTGGTTACACACTTTACAGCTGTCTGGACTCAAAACAGTCAGCTCAACAGTTTCAGATTGTAAACCCTGCCCCTACTTTATTTTCTTTGTATCCTGTATTTTGATTTTTTTTTCCCTAGTTTTGCTTTCGGTCAGTGGTATCCCTGCTCTAGGCACATATCTTTTCTGTTTCTTTTCTTGCTTAGTCTCTATTCCCTTTGGGCCCAGAGGATTAACTCCTTTGTCGTTCAGTTGTGTCCATCTTCCACCCTATTACAGGCTTCCCTTTGTGTTCATCACACCCAGCCTTTGATCAAATTCTATGCCATCTCTAACATTTCATAGAATCCCTACAGTGTGGGAACAGGCCATTCAGCCCAACAGGTCTACACCGCCCCTCCGAACAGCATCCCACCCAGACCCATCCCCCTACCCTTTCCCTGTAACCCTGCATTTTCCATGTCTAATCCACCTAACTTACACATCCCTGAACACTATGGGCAATTTAGCATGGCCAATCCATCTAGCCTGCACATCTTTGGACTGTGGGAGGAAACCCACACAGACACGGGGAGAATGTGCAAACTCCACATAGACAGTTGCTCGAGGGTGGAATCAAACCCGGGTCCCTGGCGCTGTGAGGCAGCAGGGCTAACCACTGAGCCACCGTGCCACCCTCACCCTCTGGGGGAGTCCCAATGAAAAGCTGTTGATCTGAATAGCCAATTTTATTTCTCTCTTCACATAGGCTAGCTGGCCTACTGAGCAATGTCCTGCATTTTTTATTTCCATAGAACAATCCAAACATTGTGAAAGATGCTATGTAAAAACACACGCTTTCGTTGCTTTAATTAATCAGCCTAGTTTAGGAGATAGGAGCAGGTGATGCAGACCTGCTCCCAATGGCTGCAATTCTTTTCATCTGCTAACAGATAATCACAGGTCTGTAATGGGAAGGTGAAGAGGCGTCTGTACTGTGCAGTAGCTTGATAACCCCCAATGATACCCCTTCACACACTGCTCCAACCATCCAACGCTCTGCCAGCTAAATACTCCAGGTTAGGTTTGGCAGGAGAATAAAGTCTGGGTTAAGGTAGAGGAGCCATTTCGCAGTCGTTAGGATTTTGGTTTGGGATTGGGAACGACTTGGCCTCGGTGAGGGTTCTGTGGAGCTCAGTCTCTGGTTGAGTGGAGGGACGTACCTTGATGATGTTGGTCAGTTTGTTCGTTGTGTCTGTGAGCTGTAGGTTGGTGGAGCCCCAGGCGTCCTGGACCTGGCACAGTTGGTCCTGGAGCGATGCTTGTGTGGAGGAATCAGCTGCTGACTCGAGCTCTTTCCCCATCTCCAGGGCCCGCGTCAGGCACGGCTCCAGCTGCTGGAGTTTCCTACCTTGGTGCTTGGAGGCGAACAAAGTCATTAGGGTTTGCACACAAACTGTTCAACAATTCCTATAAGCAAATAGCCAGGTTCGGGTTCAGGGCTGATCTGTGGATTATAAAACCGTACAGCAAAGAAAAAAAGGCCAATGCTGCCTTCACCAGCTCCTTGAAAGAATCTGACCAATAAATCTCACCAGCCACACCCCCCCGCCCCCCGCAACCCCTTCCCCCATCCCACCCTGCCCCTCCCTCACCTCACCCCTCCCCACCCCACACCTCTACTGCCCTGTCCCTCCCCCATCATGCCCTCCCTTTCAAACAGACAACACAGGCTTGATGGGCTCATTACAGTGTGGAGCTGGAGGAACACAGCGGGCCAGACAGCATCAGAGGAGCAGGAGAGTTGATGTCTCAGGTTTCCACCCTTCACCAGGCCTGAAGAAGGGTCCCAACCCGAAACATCAGCTTTCCTGCTTCTCCGATGCTGCCTGGCCTGCTGTGTTCATCCAGCTCTACACTGTGTTATCTCTGACTCCAGTATCGGCAGTTCCTGCTGTGCCTGAGGCCTGACGGGACTGGTCTCTTTCTGCACCATGTGATACTGTGCCTGGGACAGGACTCTCAAGCTAACAAAACATTCAATTGTAATGTGCTGGAGTTACTCACTGTATGTTTGGTACGTAAACGTGTTTAAGCCCATCGATAGTTTGTGATAAATTCAACACTGGGAGCAGGCATTGTCCAAACTTGGGAACTCCTTCTCCAGCGAAAGATCTTCTCCCAGTTTTTGGAGTTGAGGAGGCAGTGTTGGGCTGGAGGTTAATCCAGGATGACCCAGTCCCACCAAGGTGCCTGACATTGAGAACACAAGGTACCCTCAAACTGACCTAGGCAGACCTAGCCTCAGTATCAAGCAGGAAGCGTTAAAGAGCAAACCACTTACCTTCACAGCCTCAAGCAACATCCAGAGCTGCTGCAGACTGTAACTGTGTAGATCGCCCATGGCCTGCAGTTTGTTTGAGGTGTCGGTGAGCAGCTTACCGATTCTGGCCACAGAGTTGCCGTGGCAACACCATTGGTTGGCGAGAGTGGTGATGAGGTGTTGGCGTTGCCGGACTTTCTGGACCAATCTGCACCAACGTTCCTTCAGTGCTGAGAGATTCAGGACAAAAGTCCTTCTGGGGAAGAAGACAGACGTTATTAGAAAGCAAACTGTGCCTCGGTTCTCCCTGACCTTGGCAGCTCATACTGGGTGTAGCGGCCCCACTGATACCGGGACCAGAAAGAGATCATTCTCCCCAAGCCTTGCCCATACAATAGGGCCTCACGTTCTTCCTGGTCTGTAGGGTAGGAAGCAGCAAACTCTAAGCTCTACAGTGATGGCCTTTACCACAGCTTGCGACCAGGTTTCTGGGGGCTGCACTTCCCACTCACCTTTGAGAATCACAAAATCACAGAATCATTACAGCACAGAAGGAAGCCATTCAGCCCATCCTGCCTGCACTGGTTCTATCCCTGAATGCCAACCTCCTGCCTTTTCCTCATGTAGTGCACACCATTTCTATCCAAATAACCCTCCAATGCCCCTCTTGAAGGCTTCAAATAAACCTGCCTCCTCCACATTTCCAGGCAATGCATTCCAGACCCTAACTACACACTACGTGAGAATGTCTCGTCCTCACTATTCCCCTGCTTCATTTATATTTACATCCTCCCATTCCTGTTCCTTTTATGAGCAGGAACAGTTTCTCCCTCTCTACTCTGTCCAGCCCCACTCATGATTTTGAAAACCTCTCTCAGATCTCCTCTCAGCCACCTTCCCTCCAGGGAGAACAGGAGCAGAGGGAACTGGGTATATACATGCACAGATCACTGAAGGCGGCAGGGTTGGGGCGGGAGGGGGGTTGGGGGTGGGGAACAGTTACAATGTAGTGTCCTCAGCTTTATTCATGGAGTACAAGAGAAAGGGGGTGATGGTGAACTTGTACAAGACACTTGTTAGATCCTGGCTGGAGTATTGCGTGCGGTTGTAGATGCTACATTGATAATAGGAGAGATGTGAAAGCATTGGAGAGGTTTCTTCAATCTATCCTCATCACTGAAGTTTCTCAGTCCTGGAACCATTGTAAATCACTCTGCACTCTCTCCAATGCATTCACATCTCTCCTATAATCAATGTAGCATCTACAACCGCATACAATACTCCAGCCAGGGACTAAAATGTGTCTTGTACAAGTTCACCATCGCCTCCTTTCTCTTCTACTCCAAGAATAAAGCTGAGGACACTACACTGTAACTGTTCTACCCCCCTCCTGCCCTGCCACCTTCAATGATTTGGGTACATATACACCCAGTTCCCCCTGCTCCTGCACCCCCTTTAGAATTGTACCTTCTATTTTATATTGTCTTTCAATGTTCTGACCAAAATGCATCGCCTCCCACTTCTCTGCATTGAATCTCATCGGTCATCTCTCTACCCACTCCACCAACTTGTCAATGTCCTTTTGGAGTACCATACTGTCCTCCTCATAGTTTACATTTCGTCCAAGTTTAGTGCCATCCGAAACTTTGAAATTGTCCCCTGCGCACCAAGGTTCAGATAATTAATGTCTTTCAGAAAAAAAAAACAAGAACTCCAACACTGACCCCTGGGGAGCTCCACCACAAAACCTTCCTCCAACCTGAGAAATATCCATTGACCATGACTCTCTGTTTGCTGTCACTCAGTCAATTTAGCACAGGAAGGGCAGGCAGAAACCAGGAGGAGCAGTAGGATCTGGGTGAGGGGATTTGGGTGATGATGGAGAGCTGATAGGAAGCACAGACAGCCCCACTGTAAATCTTTGTAAGCCCAATATGGGCTGCTCTGGTCACTGCCTCACCTGTCCTGGGCATCGCTGCTTGGAATCAGATGATGGGCCTCCTGAATGATTGAATCAAGGATCTGGTGTGCAATGGAAACCTCTGCCTGGAAAAGCTGCAACAGGAGCAGAGTTAAAATTAACAGGTTATCGCTTTTCTCTAAACACTGTTGTGGGATATTGGCATCATAAGCAAGGCCAGCACTTGCTACTCAGCCCCAAATCCCTCCAAAACAATTGTAGGTCTGGAGTCACATGTAGGCCAGACCAGGTAAAGATGGCAGATTACCTTCCCTAAAGGACATTCGGCAACCAGGTGGGTTTTTATGACAAAAGACAATAATTTCATGATCATCATTACGGAGACTACCTCTCAATGTCAGATTCATTAATTCATTGAAATTTAATTCCACCAGCTACCAAGCTCCACCAGATTTGAACCTAGTTTCCCAGAACATTAATAATCCAGTGAATCCAGTGAGATTTACTGGGAATACATATTTATATTTAAGGATGTTCTGGAAAGTACTGGAAGTTCTTGGACAACTTAGACATTCTCTGAATTGAGAAGGGTTACACCACGTGATTTCTTGGAAACTGAAGTTGACAGTTTAATGAGTGAACAAAGGACAATCCAGCACAGGAACAGGCCCTTCTGCCCTCTAAGCCTGCACTGACACATTTTGCTATTTCATACTAAAACTGTCTTCAATTACAGGATCCATATCCCTCTATCCCATTCCTAATCATGTATTTGTTCGGGTGCTTCTTGAATGCTGCTATGGTGTGCTCTAAGCCTCCTATGATTTATTGGCAATTAAGCAACTTTGGAGCAAAAACTAAGGAAAGTTTTCAAGAATGTGAGAGATGAGGTTTATTGCATTACTGAAAAAAAGAGCTACTTGAGAGAGGACAGAAGCTTCTGTGCTAATGATTGCCAAGAAACCCTCTATGAAGTGAGGGTTTTGTTCTACAAACCTAGGAGTCACAATGAAGACCACCCCATTCCCGAGTCTCCAAGACCCCTTTCTTAAATCCTGTTCTCTGTAACAGCAGTATTTCTGTCTATCTGCTAAAACCCAAAACGCTAGACTGTGACCATTTCTAGAGACGAGTCCAAAACTGAATATCTATCATCAATCTCCAGCCGTCAGCACATCCATCAACAGAAAAACTGGACATGAGAGGTCATCACCCAACACCCTTTGTTTCCAGACTCTTAGCTCCCAGGAGTTGCTTATTATCTTTTGTTTCAAACTCCATCTCTGCAGAGATTTGTCTTAAAGCTTTCTTTCGAGAAGATTTATAGCTCGGGTTGTGGATGAGGTTGTAGACATGCTCGCTGAGCCGGTGGGTTTGGTTGTAAGTGTTTCGTCACCCTGCTAGGTAACATCGTCAGTGCATCTCCGGTGAAGGGTCGGTGTTCTGTCCCACCTGTTATTTATATGCCTCAGTTTGCTGGGGTGGTTGGTATTATTTCCGGTTCTGTTTCTCAGTGGTTTGTACACAGGGTCTAATTCAATGTGTTTGTTGATGGAGTTTCGGTTGGAATACTAAGCCTCCAGGAATTCTCTCGCTTGTCTCAGTTTGGCTTGGACGATTATGGCTGTGTTGTCCCAGTGGAATTCGTGTCCCTCATTGTCCGTGTGTAGTGAGACAAGTGAGAATTGGTCGTATCTCTTGGTGCCTCTTTAATATTCATCTATCGGTATAGTCAATTTTCTTCTGGTTTGGCCTATGTAGTATTTCTTGCAGTCTTTGCATGGTATTTTGTATCTTACACCGGCTTTGCTGGTTTTGGGTATGGGATCCTTTACATTCGTCAGTAGCAGTCATGGGGTGGTTGTTGGTTTGTGGGCTATCCTGATACCTCGGGGGCTGAGTGGTCTTGTGGTCATCTCTGATATGTCCTTAATGTACAGTAGGGTGATCAGTGAGACTGGTCGTGTTGTGTCTCCTGTTGTGGTCTGTCTCAGAGGTAACGATGGATTGTGCTTTTTGGGTATCCATTCCTTTTGAAGACTCTGTATAGGTGCTCCTGTTCTGCTTTGTGTAGTTCTAGGTTGCTGTGATGTGTTGTGTCTCATTTAAATAGTGTCCTGATGCAGCTCCATTTGTAGGCGTTGGGATGGTTGCTAGTGTAATTGAGTCTCTGGTCTCTATGTGTGGTCTTTCTATATACGCTGGTCTAGAGTTACCTGTTGTTTTTGCGTTCTACGTCCAAGAAGGGTACTAGGTTGTTGTTCCCTTCTTCTTCTGTGAATTTTATCCCAGTGAGGATGTTGTTTATGTGTTGGTCGGTTTTTTGTAGTTTTGTGCGTTTGATAATAACAAGGTGTCATCTACATATTGAACACAGAGTTTAGGTTGTATCGTGGGGAGCGCTGTCCATTCTAACCTTCGCATTAATACTTCTGCAATCAGTCCTGATATTGGGGAATCCCATTGGTGTTCCGTTGATTTGTCTGCATGTGCTGTCGTTGAAGATGAAGTGGGTTGTGAGGCACAGATCTAGTAGTTTCATGGTGCTGTCCTTATTGATGTCGTTGGTGTCTTGGGGTGCCTGCTTACTTGATTCATCCAGCGAGTTGTCTTTTTGGCTGGGTCAATGTTTTGGATGTAAATAGTGCTGTTACATCAAAGGATATCATCATCTCGTCCTCTTCTATCCTGGTGTCCTTGATGATGTTGAGGAATTCTTGGGATGACTGAATGGAGAGGGCAGTGTCGTCAACTAAGTATTTCAATTTCTGTTGTAGTTCTTTGGCAAGTCTATATGTTGGTGTACCTGGTAGCGTGACAATGAGTCTGAGGGGGATCCCCGGTTTGTGTACCTTGGGGAGTCCATAGAAGCGGGGTGTGTTGGATCCCTCTGGCTTCATTTTTTGGTAGTGTGTCTTGCTGATGTCTCCTGAGTTGTGTAATTTCTTCAGGGTCGTTATAATGTTTCCCTAACTGTGGTGTTGGGTCTATCACCATCTGTTGGTAGGTGTCAGTATCTGCTAGTATGCGTTAGCTTTCTCGATGTATTGGGCTCTATTAAGGATTACTGTCTTGTATCCTTTGTCCGCTGCTAAGATTACAATGTTCCTGTCTTTCCAGGGCTTTCCTCTCTTCTGTGCTGAATGCGTTGCACTTACCTTCCTTGCTCAACGTTGGGACTATTGTCTGTCTGTTGGTCTGTTGTACTTCTCCCATGAGTCCGTTGCTGTTTAGTGTCAATTCCAGCGCAGCCAGGAAGTCAGTCTTTTTGGCGTCTCTGAAGTTATAATTCAGTCTGTGTCCTAGGACAGTCTTCTCAGTGTCTGTCAGTGCTCGGTCCGAGATGTTTTTAATCCATGAATCTGAGTTGTCCGTGTCGTTGATGTGGGTGATTTTGGACAGTTTTTCTTGAAGGGCTATTCTTTGCTTTGTTCTGGTCTTTTGTTGTTGTATGCTGATGGCTTGTTCCAGTGTGAATGTCCATTGCTGGTCGGTTGATTTGAAGTACAAAGACTTTGACACACAATTTCCCACTGTTATTTGTGGAGGCGGCTGTGGGCATCATTGATCATAACCCTTATCATTCTGCAGCCGTTCCGTTAGAACATAGAACAGTACAGCACAGTAAAGGCCCTTCGGCCCACGATGCTGTGCCAAACTTTTACCCTAAACCTAAGGTCTATCTAACCTCCACCCCTACCTTATACTATCATCCATATGTCTATCTAATAGCCGCTTAAATGCCCCTAATGAGGCCGACTCCACTACACTCTCCCGCAATGCATTCCATGCCCCGACCACTCTCTGAGTAAAGAACCTACCTCTGACGTCTCCCTTATATCTACCTCTGTTCAGCTGTCCTCTGTGCCTGCGGATTGTTGACCAGTGGTTTATACTTTAAACTTTGTGGTAGTACCTGCTTTCTGAGGCATTTGTGCACGAAGTACAGTTGTATATGGGTCGAGCTCAGTCAGATGGCATTTGTTTCCCATCTACAGCCAGTTTGAGGGTGTTGCGCCCCCCGTAGGTGTTTAAAGTTTGAGAAGATTTGTAGCTCGGGTTGTGGATGTGGTTGCAGACTTGCTCGCCGAGCTGGTGTGTTTGGTTGCGAACGTTTCGTCACCCTGCTAGGTAACATCATCAGTGCACCTCCGGTGAAGCGTCGGTGTTCTGTCCCACTTGTTATTTATATGCCTCGGTAGGCTGGGGGGTTTGGTACTACTTCCAGTTCTGTTTCTCAGTGGTTTGTACATCCGGTCCCCCAGTTCAATGTGTTTGTTGATGGAGTTTCGGTTGAAATACCAGGCCTCCAGGTTTGTCTTTTTGTGTTGTGTGTGTGTGGGATTAAGGGGATATAGGTTCAATTTCACATCACAGCATAGCTGTTCAGTAATGCTTGTCACTTACTTTAAGAATGGTTTTGTTTATAACACATAGAATATTTCGAGTTTTTAAGGAAACTTTTTGGAAGTTTTTCGTATTTTTTGGTGGTGGTACTAACAAGAAACAGCTGTTAATAGATAAATTGACAGATTTACACGAGTGGTGGAGCTGGGGGAGGAATGGGGCTTGATTCTTAGCACACTCTGTCTATCAGTAACACCACACTATACTGTGGCACCATCATCTCCACAGCACAGGAGCTTCAGCCTGAGCTCTCCCACAGTCTCCTCACCTGATCCCACTATCATCATCTAACAAGGTTGGAAGGAATGCCAGACACTGGATAGAATGAGGGGTAAGCTGTTGGGTAATATTAATGAACAGTAAATAAGGCCTGACTTGGTCATATATCTATGGGGAGCTAGAAACCAGTTGGGGGGTCATGCTGGAGGGTCTCAGTTTAATGGATCCCCTTTAAATCTGAGATAGGTAAGGAGTTTTCTGCAGGCTAATGCTTATTTTGCCACTAATTATCTTAGAAGGTGTGGGCACATGGGCAATGGGCTCAGGTACATTGGTCCTGCCCTGACTTACTGAGTCGATAATGCGCCAGTGATTTCATGGTGAGCTGTAGGGTCTGATCCCACCTCGTGGTGGGCTGTAGGGGCTGATCTCACCTCGTGGTGGGCTGTAGGGGCTGAACCCACCTCGTGGTGGGCTGTAGGGGCTGATCTCACCTCGTGGTGGGCTGTAGGGTTGATCCTACCTCGTAGTGGGCTGTAGGGTTTGATGCCACCTCGTGGTGGGCTGTAGGGTCTGATCTCACCTCGTGGTGGGCTGTAGGGTCTGATCCCACCTCGTGGTGGGCTGTAGGGTCTGATGCCACCTCGTGGTGGGCTGTAGGGTCTGATCTCAGCTCGTGGTGGGCTGTAGGGGCTGATCTCACCTCGTGGGTTTTCTGTTGTTCTTTCAGGCCCTCGTAGCTGCCAGCAACATCAATCATCAGTGCCTCCTCCATCCTCTCCAGAAACTGCCTCCAGTGCTCACACTTCTGACTGAAGCTCTCTTCTTGCAGCATAATGGCCTGTAGTTTACTGAAACCATTGATCATTTGGAAGAAACAATCAGCATTTTAAACGTTAGGATGTAACAATAATTTACATTCATGTAAATTACGTAAGATTTCACAATAATGCACTCCTTTACCAAACAGAATCTGACACATCTGTATAAGGAGATCTTAAGACAGATATCCAGAAATTTGGACAAAGGGGTAGATTTTCAGGAGTGTCTTACAGAAACAAGGTGAGGAGAAGAGATTTAGGGAGGAAATGCCAGACCAAGGGGCCCAGGCAGCTAAACGCTTGACCGCCAACAGCAGAAAAATTAAAATTGGGCATGTTCAAGAAGCCAGAATTAGATGAGGGCAGATGTTTCGGAGGTTTTGGTAATGGAAGAGATTGCAGCGATAGGGAGGGGAGAGGCCATGGAGGGATTTGAAAACAAGGATGTGAACTTTAAAATCGAGAAGTCGCTTAACTGGAAATCAACACAGACCATCAGAAATAGGAACACTTTCCCTGAAAGTGGCAACACAAGTGGATAAAGTGGTCAAGAATGAACATAGCCTGCTTGCCTTCATCAATCAGGGTACAGAGTATAAAAATTGGCAAATCATGTTGTCACCGTATAGAACTTTAGTTGAGCCATATTTGGAATATTGCATGGCCAAGCGCAAGTTTCTTTTTTACCCATTTATGGGATGTGGATGTTGCTGGTTAGGCTGAGTTAATGACCTGTTTCATTACCGTGCTTGGTAACATCCTCAGGGCAGCCTCCGATGAAGCGTCGGTGTGTTTTCCCGCCTGGTTTTTAAACTCTGGGGTCCATTGAGATGGATTGCCTCACTTCCGGTTTTCCTTCCTTGATGACAAAGGTGTCGTCTACGTAGCGTATCCACAGTTTTGGTTGGATTTGCGGAAGAGCAAAACTGTGGATATGCTACGTAGACGACACTTTTGTCATCATTAAACGGACCAAATTAGAGGAGACACACAAACTTACAAACAACACCCTCACCGGAATAAAATTCACCAGAGAGGAGGAGAAGAACAAACAGCTCCCATTCCTGGATGTCACAGTAGAGCACAAGACAAACGGGGAACTCCAAACGAAAGTACACAGAAAAGCCACAAACACAGACCAGGTACTGAACTTCAGTAGTAACCATCCCAGCACACACAAACGAAGCTGCGTGCGAACACTGTTTAAAAGGGCAACACCACACTGCAGCAACACAGAACTACGCCAAGAGGAAGAAGAATACCTCTTCCAGGTTTTCGAGGATAATGGATATCCAAAAAACTGGGTCAGAAGATGCCTACACGAACAACATCAGAAAGATACTACACGCCCCGACACACTCACCACACTACCCTACATCAGGAACACGTCAGAACTGACCACAAGACTCCTACGATCGCTGGGCATCAGAGTGGCACACAAACCCACATCAACCCTACGACAAGTGCTCACCCGAACCAAAGACCCACTCCCCACCATGGACAGGACCAATGTCATCTACAAGATCCCCTGCAGAGACTGCGAGAAACACTACATCGGACAAACAGGAAGGAAACTAACAACAAGAGTACGTGAAGACCAACTGGCTACAAAAAGACACGACCAATACTCACTCATCTCAATCCACATGGACAAGGAGAACCACGACTTCAACTGGGACAACACCAAGATCCTGGGACAGGCCAGGCAGGGACAGGCATGGGAATTCCTAGAAGCCTGGCACTCCACGAAGCAGGCTATTAATAAACAGATTGAACTCGACCCCATATACACTCCACTACGAAGGAAAACCAGAAGTGAGGTAATCCATCTCAACGGACCCCAGAGTTTAAAAACCAGGCGGGAAAACACACCGACGCTTCATCGGAGGCTGCACTGAGGATGCTACCCAACGGGGTAATGAAACGTTTGCGAAACAAGAAAGTAGCTCGGCGAGCCAACCAACCTCAACAACCTCAACAGAATAGGCACTAATCAGACCACAGCTGGAATGCTGAGAATACTTTTGATTCGTTCATCTAAGAAAAGATAGAACGACACTGGAGGCAGTCCAGGGAAGGCTCACTCAGCCGATCCCGAATACGGAGGGATGGTCTTATGAGGAGAGGTTGAGTAGGCTGGGTCTACACTCACTGGAATTTTGGACAGTGAGAGGAGAGGTTATTGAAACATACAATATTCTTAGGGGACTTGACAAAGCACAATCTCAGAATAAGGGGTCACACATTTCAGACAGAGGTGAGGAGGAATTTCTTCTCTCCGAAGGGAATGAATCCGTGGAATTCTTAACAGCAGAGAGCTGTTGAGGCTGGGTCATTTGGTATATTCAAGGCTGAGACAGGCAGATTTTTAATCAGTAGCGGAATGAAGGTTGTGGGAAAGGGCAGGAAAAGTAGAGTTGAGGAATATCAGATCAGCCATGATCTCATTGAACGGGGAAAGTTGAGTAAACTATAACCAAGTTTGTGCATGGGCTTTATGGGCTGAATGGCCTGTGTTTTATGGTGTTGTGGGGAAGTTTTCTGCACATCATAAGACTCATGGCTCCAGAATTCAAAGTGGTTGGCAACTCACTGCCCTCTGAAATGGCCAAGTGAGCCGTTGATTCAAGGGCAGTTAAGGATGTGCTGGGCATTGCCAATGATGCCCACATCCCAGCAATGAAGAAAGCAAATGGCTGAATGCAGCTTATCAACATTGTTTTGGGGGAAGGGAGCTGGGGCGTGGAGGGGGCGAAAAGTTTCTCACCCAGGGATCCCATCAGCTTTCTGCACCATTTCACAATTCTCTGAAGGTGCGTTCAGAATTCAATGCGGTGGTGAATCGATGTTACAGGAGACAGGGAGGAGACAGCTGGCTGTGTAAATGTTACCTGCAGCGGGCCACAGCTGTCTCACGAGCCAGGTACCATCGGCGGTTCAGGGCCTGAAACCGTGTGTAATCCAGGCCATTGAGTGGCAGCCGGCAGCTCAGACGTTTCAAAGCTTCAAGGTGCTGCAAGGTGCTGCTCAATCTCAGCATCTGAGCCTGTAACACAGACACAGTTAGAAGGAGGCATGCTGTACGCTGTTAATCCAGAGACTCAGGTAACATTCTGGGGACCCGGGTTTGAATCCCACCACGGCAGACGGTGGAATTTGAATTCAATAAAAATCTGGAACTATGAATCTAATGATGGCCCTGAATCCATTGTCAGTTGTCAGGAAAGAAAATCACTCAGGTTCACTGATGTCCTGGTCTGGCCTATATGTGACTCCAGCCCCACAGCAATGTGGTTGACTCCTAACTGCCCTCTGGGATGGGCAATAAATGCTGCCTGGCCAGCGATGCCCTCATCCCGTGAATGAATTTTTTAAAAATAACCACACTTGGAGGTGTGAGGGTCAGTCACCTTCTATCAACTCAAACTGACCCAGCCTCAGAGAGTTTCCAGGCAGAGGGATGGTCACAAGGAAGCAGAATTTGTAGAGGGGCACTGAAAACTACAGTTCTGTCCTTCCGAGTATTGCATCTGAGGGAATCTCTGCTCATTGGGTTGTGGGCGTTGGGAAGAGCAGTCAGAATGGTGAGGGAGTCAGGAATGCTAGTGGGGAGGTCGTGAAAACTAGCTCAGTGCTTTCAGACAATGTTGCCAAGGGGCAGTATGGAGATGAGAGTCAGGAGGGGATTAAAGGTAAAGCCTTGAGGGACACAACAGCTAATAGTGGGGCAGGGGACAGACAGCCATTGTGGAAGGTTTCCTGGGTGTTGAAACCTCAGTGAGGTTGTACTGAGAGAGAGTACACACGCACACACGCACACACACAGACGCACACACACACAGACGCACACACAGACACAGACACACGCGCACGCACACACACAGACACACACACACACAGACTCACACGCACGCACACACGGACACAGACACACGCGCACGCACACACACAGACACACACACACACAGACTCACACGCACGCACACACGCACACACAGACACTACGCACAGACACACACACACACAGACACACACACACACACAGACACTACGCACAGACACACACGCACACACACACATGCACGCGCACGCGCACACACACACACGCACACACACACAGGCAGACACACACACACGCACACACACACACGCACACACACACGCACACACACACAGACACACACGCACACTCTCATACACACACACACACACCCAGACAGACACACACACACACACACAAACACAGACACACACGCACACACATACACATGCACACACAGACACACACGCACACACAGACACACACACCTGCACACACACACACAGAGGCAGACAGACACAGAGGCAGACACACACACACACACACACACACACAGGCAGACACACTCACGCACACGCACACACAGGCAGACACACACACAGGCAGACACACACACACACTCACGCACACACACACGCACACAGACACACACACACACACACACACACACACACAGACACACACACACACAGGCAGACACACACTCACACACACACAGACACAGACACACACAAACACAGACACACAGACACACAGACACACCTTCAATATCTCGAGGCAGAAAGTTTCCGGTTTCTCAGGGCTGAAGTCATTTGATTTCAGAACCTCCTCGGACTCATTCACCAGAGTTTCCAGGGCCCGTAAACCCTGCTGGAATTCCTCATGCTGCTCCATCAGGCCCTGTCACACCACACATCATAGAAAGACAGCAAATCACCGGTTAGCAAAACAGCTTCAGCAACAGTGTGGTATCTCAGCTGGTAACGCAGTCTTACTCAGGCTGGGATTGGCCTCAGTGGAGAGAGAAACACTGTTTATAATAAACAGGGACAGAGAGCAAGAACGAGAGAGCGAGAGAGCAAGAAAGTGAGAAGGTGCAAGAGAGAGATTGAGTGAAAACTGCAAAAAGCTACAGCACAGAGGGATTTGGGAGTCCTTGTGCATGAAACATGAAAAAGCTAGCATCCAAGTTTAGTGGGTAATAGGGAAGGCAAATGGAATGTTGGCGTTTATTTCAAAGGGAACGGAGTAAAAAATAGAGACATTTTCCTAAAACTGTACAAGGCACAAGTCAGACCTCAGCAGGAATACTGTGAACAGTTTTGGACGTCCTTTTCTAAGGAAAGATATACTGGAACAAAAACACAAATTGCTGGCGAAACTCAGCAGGTCTGGCAGCATCTCCAGGAGAAAGCAGAGTTAACAGTTCAAGTCCGGTGACTCCTCATCTTATATCAGAAACGTAGAAAAGCATTGGAGGCAGTCTAGAGGAGGTTCACTCTGCTGATCCCAGGAATGGAGGGACTGTCTTATGAGGAGAGGTTAGAATAGATTCTGTAGCATCATTGGAGTTTCGAAGAAAGAGAGGTGATCTTATTGACTCTTAGTGATAACACAGTGTGGAGCTGGAGGAACACAGCAGGCCAGGCAGCATCAGAGGAAGAGGAAAGCTGATATTTCGGGTCAGGACCCTTCTCCAGCTCCACACTGTGTTATCTCTGACTCCAGCATCAGCGGTTCTTACCATCTCTGAGATTCTTAAACAGCTTATCAGAGTAGATGTGGAAATATTGTTTCCCCCTTGTGGGAGAGGTGGCAGCATCTCAGGGTAAGGAGTCACACATTTAAGACAGAGATGAGGAGGCATTTCTTCTCTCACAGGTAAGTGAATCTGTGCAATTCTTTACCACAGGGGGCTGTTGAGGCTGGGTCTTCAACATATTCATGATGCTGAGGTGCCGGTGTTGGACTGGGGTAGACAAAGTCAGAAATCATCAGGTGATAGTCCAACAGGTTTATTTGAAAACACAAGCTTTCGGAGCCTCCCTCCTCCTTCAGGTGTTAGTGAGAGATTT